TCTGTTAGGAATCTTAGTTAAATACAAACAAGTATATGTTGTCTGTTAGGAATCTTAGTTAAATACAAACAAGTATATGTTGTCTGTTAGGAATCTTGGTTAAATACAAACAAGTATATGTTGTCTGTTAGAAATCTTGGTTAAATACAAACAAGTATATGTTGTCTGTTAGGAATCTCGGTTAAATAGAAACAAATATATTTTGAACATTACAGTGACTCTTGTTTTGATTCTTTTTTAGGTTTAATAATTTTTATTAACTGCTACAATGTACGGTGGGCGACACGAGTCCAGGATGTTTTGACATTGTCAAAAGTAATCGCTTTGATTGTGATCATCATAGCTGGACTTGTACACATCGGATTGGGTAAGTTTTTAGGGAACGTTACTTTACTTGAGACATACATTATTGTACTAATTTTAGGCTTAAAATATTCGGTTAAAAATGTATTAGATTTTAGTGAAGCCTTCTTATAGGGCGCCCCCCAGTGGCACAAACAAACAATCTTATAGGGCCTATAAAATTCATCAGAAACTTGTACACATCGGATTGGGTAAATTTTTAGAGAACGTTACTTTAAGTGAGACATACATTATTGTACTAATTTTAGGCTTAAAATATTTGGTTAAAAATGTATTAGATTTTAGTGAAGCCTTCTTACAGGGCGCCCCCCCAGTGGCACAAACAAACAATCTTACAGGGCCTATAAAATTCATCAACTATTTCTTACACTCACTTTACAAGAATGTAAATATTTTAGTTCCTTTATCAAATTATGAAAGAGTAAAATAAGGGTACCTGGGTAGTATTTTTACTACCAATATTATACGGGTTTATAACTAAAAGTTGTTTAAGTTAAAACTGAAGTGTTTTTTTTTTAGAGCACTTGTTCATTCTGAATTCTTCTATTGAAAACCCTAGCCCCCAGTGGCACGGCGATATGTCTACGAACTTACAACGCTAGAAACCGGGTTTCGATACCCGTGATGGATAGAGCACAAATAGCCCATTGTGTTGCTTTGTGCTAATTACAAACAATTGAAAACCCTAGTGCTTCTAAATGAGAATTATACAAAAGTAGATTTAATATTAATAAGAACATTTTATTTATGTTTTTATTTAAGGAATTCCGAGAGTTAGTTGATTATATCAATCCTCACAAGCCTTAAGTTACTTGACAGCTTATAACTGATAATTAGGGCCCAATGATATTGTTACGACAGCGGAAGTAACGTGACGCTAGTAACACGTCATTAACTTCTAGAAGGATCCTGTCCCTTCCTGAATGCTCTAGCGTTTACTTAATTTCGGTATTCTTGTATATATAAGATGGTCGAGACGTGATGGCAACAATGTAATGAGTAGTTGAACTTCGGACAGAGAGACGTATTGTTGAGTCGAACACGTGAGACGTTCGTTGTGAATTATAGCGTTTGTTATAGCGTGATTGTGGAAATTAAGTGTATTGCAAAGTTGTATTCAGAAAGAATAAACCAGTTTTATTTAAGAAAGGACTTGTATCGTTAAATTTTCTTCGGAAAGAATTTTTACGGAAAATTAACTAACGAACGGAGGCGTAACAATATGGTTCTAACAATAGTGTTGGTTGATGAATGTTTCGGTAGGTGTAACATTAGGAATCACGACGTCATATCAAGGTGTTTATTAAATAAACCCCGAAGGCTAATATGTTACAATTAATTATTATTCCAGGTCACACTGAACATTTTGAAAACGCATTTGAAGGTACAAACACGGAACCTGGATACATTGCCTTAGCCTTTTATTCGGGTATCTTCTCGTACGCTGGTTGGTAAGTTGGCTTTTGTTAAATAGCGCATGCGTTGATTAGTAACGCTGTTTGATTACAACATTGTTGATAAAACGGGTTCGAATCATATTTTGTTCCCTTTTACCTTTATTAGTCTGAAAATATAAAGAAATTGATTAGGAATAGAAAAAAATGGTTCGTTAATCAGATATATATGTTAAGCAGCTTTGGTAAAAGTACGATATTGAGATCAAGGTTTAAAAAGATGTTAAATATTATTATTTACGCTTAAGATGTTGATATAGCGTTTTAAATATTGTGGTATACAGGCACTACAAAGCGTTTTATAGTTTATTGTATTAATAATGAATTATTGCAAAATTTTATTTATTCATATGTATGTGAAGTTTTCACAAGACTCGTTGATCAAGGAAATCGTTAAGTTCCTTTCCTTCTAGGTACCTGTTGTTTTGTGGCATTCACCCGAGTTAACACCTGGCAGCTCAGATGATATTTCGAGGTTACAACCTTCCTTATTTTCTAGTAGGAATGACCAGTTATGAAATATTGAAGTTAAAGTTCAAAGTGTTGTTATTACATCTTTTCTTTTAATTTATAAACTGTTTTTCGTTTCAGGAATTACTTAAACTTTGTTACTGAAGAAATGAAAGAACCTTACCGGTAAGTTGTTGCTAACCCTATAATTACCAATAGGATCCATAGGATCCCATCATTATTATTAGTATTTGTGAACGAACCTTACCGGTAAGTTGTTGCTAACCCAATAATTACCAATAGAATCTATATGATCCCATTATTATTATTTGTGAAAGAACCTTACCGGTAAGTTGTTGCTAACCCTATAATTACCAATAGGATCCATGTAACCCCATTATTATTATTATTTGTGAAAGAACCTTACCGGTAAGTTGTTGCTAACCCTATAATTACCAATAAAATCCACATGATCCCATTATTATTATTTGTGAAAGAACCTTACCGGTAAGTTGTTGCTAACCCTATAATTACCAATAGGATTCATGTAAGCCCATTATTATTATTTGTTAATTATTTACGCACTAAACGCTTTGTGGATTTATTGTTTTGTTGATTAACACATGAGTCACAGAATAAAAATATAAAAAGACAATACTATAAATGTTGCAGTTAATGTTACTAATTACTGTCAGGTTTTTTACATATCTTACATACGAAATGAGTGGTTTCACCAAATATTTTTTAAGTTTTTTACGGTGAGTGTGTTAACAATGAAAAAATAACAATATTGCATTAATCAACATGTGGTCCCCACCTTAACAATACAAAACACAACAATATAGAAATAATGAACATGCGGTCCCCATGTTAACAGGCAAAAAAATAATAATATATATAATTAATCAACATGCGGTCCCCACATTAACAGACAAACAAAAACAATAACACAGTATTAATCAACATGCGGTCCCCATGTTAACAGACAAAAACACAATAACACAGAATTAATCAGCATTGTGGTCCCAAAGTTAACAGGCAAAAAAACCAAAAAACAATAACATATAATTAATCAACATGCGGTCCCCACATTAACAGACAAAAATACAACAATATAGAAATAATCAACATGCAGTCCCCATGTTAACAAACAAAAACACAATAACACAGAATTAATCAACATTGTGGTCCCAACGTTAACAGGCAAAAATACAACAATATAGAAATAATCAACCCCACGTTAACAGACAGAAAACAACAATATAGAAATAATCAACATGTGTTCCCCACGTTGACAGACAGAAAACAACAATATAGAATTAATGAACATGTGTTCCCCACGTTAACAGACAGAAAACAACAATATAGAAATAATCAACCCCACGTTAACAGACAGAAAACAACAATATAGAAATAATCAACATGCAGTTCACCACGTTAACAGACAGAAAACAACAATATAGAAATAATCAACATGTGTTCACCACGTTAACAGACAAAAAACAACA